AGACCGGCTCGCTTTTTTTTAAGAGCGGCTTGTATAAATATAAACCTATGCCGGCAGTCTGCCTCCTCTCGGGTTTCGGGTATTCTCGCACCATAATGTTATACGTGGAAGACCTCACCTCCGCGTCTCTCAAAGGGAAGATCAACCCTCGCGACAGTAAATATAGCGGGTGCACTAAAATATTTTTTTCGTCTCGCATCTCTCTTATAATTTATACGCGAAAAACAACCTCGTGTCCGAGACCGAAGATTAATTATCCTACTTCAACATCGGTCGTTGGAAGATTAATTCTTTCACTTTAAAATTAGACAGAAGAATTCTAGTGCAGAGTTTCTCATTTCTTTCCATCTCGATTTTACCTAATTTTCTATCGATCGCGAGTTCTATATTTCTTTATTTTAATCTCGAATATTTTTATAAATAGTACACGGGAAGAACGGTTTTGCTGAAGTATCTAAAAATTTAGCTACATATAGCTCTGAAAATAATATTATTAAACTGAAAATAATTATATAGAATACCTAAGTTGGTTGCTGGATCAAAATTTTTTGCAGCGTTACTCATTATGCTTGGGTTTCTTACGTAATTAATTTATAATGGCTCAAAAGAATTATTTTCAGATTTAGCTAAATTTTTATTTCAAGTAAAATTATTCTTTCTGCAAGGAGAGAATTTTTTCTTAGAGTTTACTTTGAAAATGTGATAGTCGCGGGACAACATTATATTTCGAAGAATTTTAATGTAAACCTCTCTCATTTATTAATAAAACTACAATAAAGTATAAAATAAGTTTGATTAACTTTACTAAAGTGCAGTAAAAATCTTTCAAATATTGTATTGTACCACAACTACCATATTTTTAGGGTAAATTTTAAAAGAAAATTCTCTCCATGTGTATACTTTCGTTAAAAAAATTCTTCTCTTCTCAGATCTTTTATATTATACAGTTGTTTCTGCGTTACATGTCGCATTCTACGTTGCTTCGTCCAAAGGCGAAAGTTAATTTTTATCAGATGGGAGACGAGTAGGCGGAGGAAACATCTCCCTCGCGCGATCAATCAAATTAGGCGTGACGGAAATGAAAACATATTGAGAACAGAAGAGCGAGTAATGAGAGGGAGAACACACGTCGCTTTTTGACGTGACTCCGAATGCTCGATCTTGAGAACACCGGTAGCCAGAAATCCGATCCTCCTCGAGTCCTGGCCCTCTCCTTTCTCCACTTCTATCACCTCCTTCCACGCATTGTCCGTCACCGACGTTTATCTGGATTCTAACGCGTTCGCCTACGCGTATTTTGCGTCCGTAACGACATTAGAATGACATTATAACACACGTGCAATCTTATTGCGAATTTCAAACCAGGGACCATATTATGGAACTATTCGGAACGAATTCCGATCGGAATTATTCTGTTTCTGAAAAATATAATAGATATCTAAGGATTAATCATTTTGATCAGAATCCATTCAAAATAGTTTCATAATATATACTAGGAACATATTGAAGAATGTTGCTTGCTGGTCGTCAATAACTTTTCCTTTATTATTCACATAAAAGAAATTTTTCTGAATCGCGTAGTTTTGATCATTGAATCAATGGTGTGATCGATGTCTTCAATCACGTGTACATATGATGACATTCTTCCTCGTTCACGAGGTTATCGTGTGTCTCGGGACGTATTTGGTAAGTCCCTAATTCCGCGCCAGTGTTAACAGCACCAAGTAAATTTTGAGAAATTATCGTGGACGGAACGCGATTGAAAATGTGGAACTTTGTTCACACAAAAAAAAACGATTATGTTGAAATACTTAAAAATTTAATTAGATTTGATAATTTATTGAATCTTCAAAATAATTACGTAGGATGTTCAAACATAACGAGCACACGAAAAAGACGGATTTGCTGAAATGTCTACAAATTTAGCTGAATACAGATCTAAAAATAATTTTGTTGGACTATCAAAATAATTATAAGATATTCAAATTGTTAGAATGTTAAAATTTTTTACACCATTGCTTGTCATGCTTGAGATTCCTACGTGATTATTTTGGCGGTCCAACAAAATTGTTCTCAGATTTGTATATATATATCTAACTGAATTTTTAAATACTTCAGTAAAATCATTCTTTCCAATTCTTTGCAATGCAAAACATTCTAATAACCAGCTTTGAATCCTACATAATTATTTTAATAATTTAACAAAATTATTTTCAGATCTCTATATAGCTATATAAATTTTTAAATTTCTTAGATTTACCAATAATAATAATAACTTCAACAAATTATCAAGCAGCACTTCCCGTGCTGTTTGATATTTTCATTAAGATAAAATGAATCTCATATTCATGTCATAGAAGTTCCTTTCAAAATATTTTCTTTATCCGGGACACTTTTATGTATTACGTCTTTTAATACTTCATTTTACGTCATAAGTATCTAATTATCAGTTTCCTCGATATCTTAAATAGCAAATATTGTCCACATTTCTAGCGATCTTTTTCCGATAAATGAACCTTGAACCGATAACATGTCGTTATTGCATAGCTTGCGCCATTTTTTCGTTTTGTTTATTATTGTTTTTATCGGTGCGTAAGAAAGTCAACTGCGTTAAATTTAGCACATTTGAAGAGCATAATTATGCATACAATTACTATGTACGATTTCGAAGCGGAATGTTCTAACGCGACCATTTTTCCTTTTACCCCATTCGATTTAAATACGATATGCGACACTTTGAAGGATCATGGCGCAAAGTTCTAAAAACCAGCTGCAAGTGTTTCGCAGTTTTGCAAAAGACGATTCCGGGGACCGGAGTTTCGTCGTAAATTCACCTAAGAATAGGTGACGTGTTTTATCCAGGGGGGAAATAGAACACGGCTAAAACTCGCTGGTCTGCTTACGCACGGAGGATAGTACGATATCACGCAAAATAGAAATAGGATACGTTATAAATAAATACGCGATGAATTTTGCGCCTCCGAAAAACAAGAGGTACGCCTCTGCGATTGCGGCTCCTTCGTTCTGCCAAATTTTCACTGCGTAGGTAAAAATTTTTGCACGTGTCCGACTGCATTTTGCGACTTAAATGTCACTTTCGTTATCGTGCATTTAATGACGATTTGCATAATGCATGAAAACCATGCATTTTCCTTTGTTTAAATGGACATCATTTAGTCTCATTGTCACGTAAAATCACACACATTTGTAACAATTTATTTAACTTTTTAATGAAATATTCATAGAAATAAATATGCAAATTTACTTTTTAATTATGGACAATTCTATTACAGCAACAAGTTTTGTATTAAAAGTTCAACAGTCTCTTTTAGCCTCCTCCCTTCCAGTGTAAGGATTTATTTTGAAATTATATGGGGATCTTCTTATTTTATACAATTTATCTATTGGAAATATAATTTGCTATCCATTATTGAAAGTTTTCTTCTCAGGACATGCGACGTGTCTATTCTGTAGAACGCAATCATGAATATAAATAATTACAATTATAAAGTTTCTTGTGTCGAGTCAGGAGGAAGTGAGACCAATACGAGAGAGCTCTAATTATATATCCGGAGTTGGAAGACTGCCAACGTCACCTTCGTTTTCGGCTTTTCCTTTCGACTAGTTTGCATTCTTCTGCGTTCTCGCGGTAGAATGCATCGGGGATGGATTTTTGTGTCGCGAAGAGCAGACTGATATTATTCTAGACACCAATACCGATGCAGTTTTTCAAGAATTGCATTTACAAAAAAACTCTATAAAAAAATATGAATGTTTAGCCTTTGATCTCATAAAAATTCGCAAAACACAGTCCATTTTTTTTTTGTTATAAAAATAGCAAACTAGAAAGGACACATCGAAATCAGTAGAAATTAATGCGCATATTAATAAATAAAAAATAGTAAGAGTTGATGAAAATGAAAAATTAATTATTTCGGCTCAATTTTTAGCCATCTTTAGAGCATAAGATATAATTACAGTTATCTTACGATCTGAAGATGGCTCAAAATTTAGTCGAAATATGTAATTTTTCATTTTCATTAATTTATTAACATACGCACTATAATTTCTGTGCCTATAATTTCCTACGCTTTTTTCTATTTTGCTATTCTTGTAACAAACAAAAATGGAGGATTATTTTGTGAGAAGTTTTCATAAATTAGACCAAGACTAGACTAAATATTCGCATTTTTTATTGTTGCCTTATATGGCCCCTTTTCTATTTTGCTATTTATATTATAAGGAATCCTTATTATTGTTATGAAAATAATAGACATTCCTCAAATCACCTTACAACTTTTTTGTACATAGCAGTATAATGTATGTAGTTTTTTTTTCATGAATTTGAGGTATCGATGACTGTAGAAGTGCACGTCTGTAAAATGCGTACCGCATTGTACGATAACATTTGAACTTAGCTGAGTTCGTTGGCATAATTTTACCGCCTATCTTTAATTGCGCTTACGTAAGATCGTAGATTAATTTGGAAATCAATGTTAATCGTGAAATTATCTTGCCACATCGCTTATCGATGCGCGAAATCACAATTAGTTTTCCTCGTGTTGTCTGGAATTGAATTGAAGGACACTATAAAAACAACATATTTACATACAAAATCCATGCCATTTATTTTGCAAATGTTTTAAGTATAGTATCTCGAGACTCTTATGGCCTACAATAGGAATAATATTATGTAGTAAGCCATAAGTTTGTAAGAAATTAATATACAAAAACAATTTGCAAAAAAATATTTGTATTGACACGGAAAGAATCATTTTACTGAGATACTTAAATAAAGTTTTCTCGAGATGGCCTTGAATGACAGTATCCCATATCCTACCGTGCGCGCATGTTCTGGACACATTCACTGGATGTAGCGATGTAGATTTAAACGTCAGCTTCGCCGTAGTCACCGAGTCTAAAATAGATTTGGCCCGGGTGCATCTAATAGAAGCGAATGCCCCATCAAGCGTTTTATCGTGTCTTTCTTCATCTTTCAGGATATGCGTGGGTTACACTGGCTACGAACGATGCCTATTCTCTGGGAGCCCTGGTTCTGGCGCATTCCTTACGCCGGGTCGGCACTAAGCACGAATTGGCCTGTCTTGTCACTCCTGGAGTTACGGCGACCATGAGGTATCGTCGTTCTCCAAGTTCAATACGGCAATTACCAGATGGCAACACGCTGATTAGCTGCCAAGTCGTGTCGTGGAAATTGAAACAAACTTCTCATATTTGTAACATTTATATTTTTTCGACATTCGATTGTTATTATAATAAAAAATTAATTTTTTATAAAAATTATTTAAGTCGATTTTATAAGAATTATTTAAGTTTAGTGAGAGAAATTAGCTTTTTTTTTAGCTATTTATTTAATTTTATTGTAATAAATGTTTATTAATTTAATGATTTATTTAATAATATTCATAAAATATATGTATATTAGTGTCATGAGATCAGAATCGCGTGTATTATGGTAAATGAACAATAACGTTGTTCCTCCAAGCTTTTCAATTTTAAGACATGTCTCATTAAGGTTTTGATTAATCTCTTAATTAAAGAGTTTGTTAATATTTTGTTATAGCTTAAGGTATTAGCAGCAATCAATTCTGCGACTTATAAAATATTTTAACTATATAATAACATTAACCAGATTCTAATTGCAACGTGTAATTAGCGTCTTGTTTGCGTTAGGGAAAAATTGGCGGCAGTATTCTCCTTGGTGCAAGAAGTCAATGTTCTCGATTCGAAGGACGAGGCGAACCTGGCCTTACTGGCTCGACCAGAATTAGGCATTACTTTTACCAAATTACACTGTTGGAGGCTAACTCAGTACGAGAAGTGTGTATTCGTTGATGCGGACACTCTTGTGAGTAATGCGAAATTTTGTTCAATCTATAAAATACTTGATATTTTTTTTTATTTCATAATATTTTTACATCTAAACTAAAGCTATAGGAATTGGATTAAAAAATTTTAATTCCACTATTTTATTCTTTATTATGATATGTTTAAACAGTGAGTTATATATTATCTAATAATAAAAAAATAAAATACAGTATAAAAAACAAGTTAGAATTAAATCTGTTAGAAGAGAAACTATCACATTACCGTAGGTCTATTTAATTTTTTTAGGTCGTACGAAACTGCGATGAGTTATTCGAGCGAGAAGAACTATCGGCCGCGCCCGATGTCGGCTGGCCTGACTGCTTTAATTCCGGAGTATTTGTATTCAGACCGTCTCAACAAACGTTCGCATCAATCACCGCATTCGCCGCTGCTAAGGGCTCGTTTGATGGCGGTGATCAAGGCTTATTGAATATGTACTTTAGCGACTGGGCTAGCAAGGATATCTCCAAGCATCTACCGTTCATCTACAACATGTGTTCTACCGCGACGTACTCCTATCTCCCCGCATTTAAACAGTAAGCGCTTACGCTCTTTCAGCTCAGCTACAATTAAAAATCCTCCGTTTTCTAATTCTCATTTACATCCTAGATTTGGCGACGACGTGAGAATAATACACTTTATCGGCATAACGAAACCGTGGTTACAGTATTTCGATACCCTGACCGGCACCGTCCAACCACCACCGGGATCAACACATTTGCAACCGCTGTTGCAACTATGGTGGAATATATTCTGCGAGCGAGTGCATCCCCAACTGTCATCCTCCATGGTAAGTTTAATTATAATCTGTTTTAGTGCAGTATGCATTTAATGTGCTAAAATAATGTGCTAAACGAATGATAGTTCTAAACTGAAGCGCATAGCTATTTTTCTACTAAATTTTATATTTCTAATAAAGAAAGATCTTTCTTGTCCATGTTAATGATATGTGAATAACAATTTTAATCATTTTACGCATTTTATGCATTTTATGCATTTTATACATTTGGCTGCAAAAAATTAATATTGCCATAGTTTTTTTTCTTATATTGATGCATTTGTTTTACAAGCAAAGCAGTGAACAATTATATGCAATTATAAATAATACAAGGGTAAGATATTCTTACATAAGCATCTGTTTGTAGTTTTTCTAGATTATTGTGTATATTAATATTATTATTTCAAATAAGTAGGATTTATCATGTCATACATTTGATAAAAATTATGATGCAATTTTGGGAGAATTTTCATCACAAATTTTTTTAGAATTCTTATTAATGAATATTAGAGTTGCATCGAGTTGCATTCACAGTCTTTTTGTAAATGCAGCTATATAAATCTGAAATTTTTCACATTGCTTTTTTAATGATATTTTTTTAATGCTGTATGAAAGCTTGCAAAAAAGTAGTATTTGAGAATATAATCATATAGCGTTTTTTATTATATCTTTATATGATATAAAGTGTGTAAATTTCTTGGCATTTTAAATATATTTTGAACCCGAAAGTCTCTAGAAAAAATTCTTTAATATTGTATATTTTAATTTTACATTATAGGGTTCAAGGTATATTTTTATTTGTTTTTTCTTTGTATATTTTGTGTAGTGCATATTAATAGCTGCATTTCAATATAATTTTAGATACTTTTATGATATATTCGTAATATAATTTTTTAAATATAATTTTAATACGCGCAATATTGAAAAATTATATATGCACTTTTCATCCTATAAAAATTTATCAAACGAATAATGTGGCTATTAATATGATGAATTTTTCTAGTATTAAACCAGTGTCTATTTTTTTTCTTTGATCTCTGTTCTCTCTTAACTCATATACTTATAATTCATGTAAAAATTTAATTCGGTCGCTATATATATATATATATATATATATATAATAGCGTTTAATTGCATTATTCGTAATATCTGTAATGAATGGGTCGAGCATGAATGTTATTCGTGTGGCATTTTGAAACTACCCAAGCAATACGGTTATATTTAAAATACGTTTAATAAACGTTATGAATCGTCTAATGAACGAATAAACTGAAAAATAAACGCTTAAAATTTGATACGTTTTAACAACTATATTTAATAAACATAAAAATATTTGTAACGTCTGTTAAACGTGTTTTACTCATTTAAAATACCGTTTAATAAACGAATATTTAATAACATCTATTTAACATTTTTATACAACATAAAAAACGTTTCGGCTAAACTTTTTTTAAACATAAATTGTCTGCTTGGGTATCGATATACCACAAACTTTATTTTATTTACGGTGAAATAACATTTTACATTATTGCTATCGTGTAAATGTCAATTTATAATGGAAGACATAACGCTGTAAGAAAAATGGACACTGCCAAACACTTAGTTCAGTACTAACCGATCGAGTGTGCATTTTTCTGTTTTGGCATGATGCTTGCATAGGCCACCAGCACATTGGCTCCAATTTGGCACGCATTTGCTCCCCCGTCCTATGTACCCCCTTTCCCTGAGATCTCCGATTACTCCGACGCAACAAATAGCAACAGTTCTCGAGTGCCGGATTTTTCGGAATTTAAAGATCCCTGGGAAGAGTACTCTCCGCGGAACGATCCGTTTCCGACTGATAATAGCGCACTGAATGATAAGAGCGACAATTGTTACTGCGGAGTTAAAGAGGCGGATGCTGTTCGTCAAAGTGACCATAGTGCATCCCAACTCGCACACAATCAGCAATTTCATTACGAGCAACAGCATTCATCTTACACGCCTATTCAAACGTATGATCAACGTCAAGAACATGCAACTTCTCATTTTGAAGAAACTCGTAATCAAGAGCATTCTGTACAACACACTGAACATCATCAACACTGGCAACAACACAGTGAACATAAACGTCACGATGAACAGCATCAACATGAACAGTGGACTGAACAGAGACATCATCATGTGCAACATCAGCATCACGAGCATAGGCATAATGAGCAGCAGCATTATAACGAACAGAAACAACATAGCGAGCATCACCAACAGTTCCATCAACAGTTTCATCAACATGATTATCACAGAAACAAAGCGGATGATCATCATCAGAATCAATCTACCGAAGCGGGGCACGAGAATCACGCGCAACACTACTCTAGTGATAATAGTCATCAAAACGCGGACCATCTGAGTCATACTGCTTCTCATAATGAGCAGTATACTAGTAATCAAGATGCTCGGGATAACTTTGCATCTCATTGTTATCGATGCATTGAAAAGAATAGCGAGCAGTCGTCGGAAGCTGTGAATAAGCAAACAGACACACGGAGAATCGATTTCCTTCCTCCCTCTCCTGAACCTTGTACAGATCTCCACAATGTAGCCACGCGATCTGACCCGAATGTAACGGAACATCTAGACAATGCAAATGTAAGTAATTGTTCCCATATCCTTTTTTTTTCTAAATTCGAGTCGATTATATTTATCACTGTACGCTTCCGTACATATTTCTGAGAATATATCTGCTTCATTTTGCTAAAGAATCATGAATGCATTATAATAATTATAATTATACTTCTATAAAATCAATTTTTTTACGATTACATGGCGCATTGTGTCATCCGTGTTTTCATTTATTTTAACAATGCTTGGGACATTACTTGCACTTTTATTGGGAATATTCATATATCATTTAAAATCATTTTGTTTGTCACTCATTTCTTATATACAAATTTTCATTTCATAGCCGATTGTGAATATATATGTATAATTTCCTTTATTTTCTGGAAAACGTAACAGTTGTCAATTTACCTTTATGTGTACTAACCCATATTACTTTTATTATATTTGACACGTACATCCTATTTGAAAGTGTTCTCCTTTCTGTGTTCTCCTCAAAGCTGGTAAGTAGCACCAGCTTTGTACTGTACATTTACGTGACTTGTCTTAAGGAATGCAGAGATAAAATTGTTTGAAACGCTCGTGTGTTTATCGTAACTCATGTTGTCATTTTACATTAATCGTTTCTTTGATATTGAAAACGGTTTGGAATGAAAGAATATTCTTATTAATTGCACAGGCTGGTATCGCCGGTGCCCTGGCTCAGCTGACATTGGGCGAAGCGAGAAGCGCCGAGCAAGTAGCCTTTGAAGAGCACATGAGGAAGCAAAGCTGGGAACAAGGACAGATCGACTACATGGGTCGCGATAGTTTTGATAACATATGGAAGAAGATCTGCGAAACGCTCTCTCTCGCGCCGCAACGAGAGCCAACTCCACCTACAGAGGTAATTTAATGTCAAATAATATATTTATCTTGATGAGCATGTTTAGAAATTACCGTAGCTTATGCTAGAATTGTAATAATTAAAACATCGACAGAGACACAATTACTTTGATTCACTAATGCCTGTTTCTATCAACGTAGATTAACTTTAATCTCGGTTCAACTTACTCTTCATCTTTTTCTTATTTTTAAAACTAGAAAAAGATGAAGAGTTAGTTGAACCGAGATTAAAGTTAAACTGCATTGGTAGAAACGGGCATAAAGCCCAGTTTCACAACTCATGGTTAACTGAGGTTTAACTTATTTTTCATCTCTTTCTGATGCTAGAATTGAAAAGAGATGAGAAATAAGTTGAACCTCGGTTAAGCGTTAATCATGAGTTGTGAAACTAAGCCTAAATAGTTAGATCTAAAAAAAGTTGAATAAGCAACGATGAATACTATCTTGATGATGAATAATTCATATTATGATAAATATAAATGCAGGATACCGCTACTTTGGAGACTGCTGTACAAGAGACTGCTGCAAAAGAGACTGCTACAAAAGAGACTGCTGATACACCTATAGATGTCAAAGTGGATAAACCAGCTGGTATGTCTCGCAATTACAAATGAAATCGCGTTATTATATGTAAATGAATTCGTAATAAGAACTCATAAATATTCGAAACATATCCAAAGTAGAAGGTAACCATATATCATAAATTACAATATTTCATGCACGCACAAACTGAGATCACGACATAATATTTGTCAACGAGCACTGTATGCCAATCGTAAAAATAATAAAAGAAAAAATGCGAGATATATTTTTAAAATAATTTAATGTGCTCACGATGCAAAGCCATTAACTGTTTTCCTCGAATATATGCTTTGCGTTTTTGTTTGTTTTTTGTTCCATTTAATACAGCATGCGATAATCAATTTCATAATTTAAAATTGAAAATGTTGAGCGAGGAAATGATTAAAAATCAATATGCTTATATATTAAACGCGAATTTATTACGATATTTCAAACGAGAAGTACGAAACGATATACTCTTGTTAATGCAATTTATCTAGTTTGAGTGTTTGTGAAACAGGAACAGAGGACAGCAACTAACAGACCCTGGCACCATAGCATTGCTGCGTCTTGTATTGTCGTTTTGCTTTAATGGGGTAAATATTTTATGTACTCACACACAAAACATTGACATTATCACTTACTTTTTTATTCTATACTTCAGATGACTGAATTATGTAAAATGATATAGTCTAAAATAATTATTGAATTGTTATTATTAGATTAGATACTTTAAAAAATTTTTAATTAGATTTTTTGTTACTATTTACTAAATACATAAACGAAAAAGTAACATTATTTTTTTATTTTACATATTGAAAATTTTTCTAGCTTGTTTAAAAAGGATTCTTGAAAAATATTGCTTTAAATCAATGAATTTTATACATCTTCAACATCCTTTTAAAGTTATTATATGTATACTAGGTGTCTCAAAATTCGGGAACCACAGCAAGAAAGTTCTCGAAAAATAAATTATAAAAATATTTGTGCTTTGTCGTTTAGAACAATTTTTAAGATATAAAGGTTGAAATTAAACAGTTGTCAGTTACACGTTGACGTCGATAACACTATCAACGCACGACTCATGACTATTCAAATATAATCTATAATTGTCCAGTTTTTAATTTTTATGTCTTAAAAACTACTCAGAACGACAAATGGCAAATAATTTTTATAGCTTACTTTATAATGGCAATATTTTTATAACTCTTTTTTTCAAGCACTTCCTGCTGTGGTATTTTGATTCGCGAATTTCGAGACATCCTGTATAATCGATGTATATATATATATATATATATATCTTTCATATACAATAAAATGTATAATATGAACAAAATGTGTGAGGTACAATTTAATTCGAATACTTTGAAAATTATTACTTTGCTTTTATATATAACACTTTTATGAAACGTAATTCTTTACTAATTAAACATTTTGCGGAATATTGCTTCTTTAATCCGCTACTATATAATTGGCTTTCATTCATTTTCCAAACAAGTTGTCATGCATTATATTTTCGCATTAAGCTATATCCATTACGCTTTATATGCTTTATGTTAACAAAACGAGCACATGAGCATTATTTATAATTGCCATGGATACATTTGATCTGCTAAAATGCTTAGCAAACGTTTTATGTTATTATTATTGACTGTTTATTCATGGTTTACTTGTTCATACTCGTGGCATATTTCGCTATGTTGAAACGGAATCGGATTTTCTCACTGTCATCAATCATCGCCTATTTTGCCTAAAATTCATGAAATATAACTTTAATACGTGATCTTTTCAATATTAATCAATGATTTTACTTCTATTTAAATTAATAGAAAAAAAAACGGTTTCTATTCACCGTATAGAATTTTGCACGATTTCTTCTCTTAATTTTTTGTTAGAATAGTTCTTTCTGTTTGATCGTATTTACATTATATCTGTCACTTTCATTCTTTCTTCGTCCAGTTGAAGTCGACAAGGATCCAACGCAATCTCTAATATGCGAAGTTCCCAAAGAAGAGAAATTTTCGGCAGCAATCCCCGAGCAGAAAGCTCCCGCGTTATCTTCCGACAAATCGGCAGAAGCTACTGCAAAAATATCCGAGCCGGTACAATTCGAAGACGTTTGTGCGAAACCGACAACTGAATTAAAGGATGTAAAATCGTGCGAAATCCGTACTGAAGTGCCTTTACCGCAGCCACCGGCAGAACCGTTGCTCGCAAGAACAACTGCGGAACCGTGTGAGCTCCCAAGCCTGCAAACGCCGCAAGAAGCGGCTCTTCGAAGCGCAATCCTTCTCCTCGAAACAAAAGAACCGAAGCAACAAACTGATTCGCAAACATCCCCCTTGGTCTGCAAAATGCCTGTGCAAGAAACAACTGCGCCGGTTACGCAAATTGGTGCCGAGTCAGCGCTTACTGAAGCCAAACCAAAAACTCCAGCTTTCATTGCTCAAGACGCAACGCAGCCTATAGCTCTGACTGGCGTAGGCAGTCCGCAGATTGCTGCAACTTCTCCTGTAGCGAGCCAAGCGCCAGTAGAAGACACCGTGAAGTGCGTAATCGAATCTGCGCCTGACGTAACACAGCCTCTCACGATAGATCCGGGCGAGCTGCACGCGGAGATGCTGTTGGCTGCTTCTGAGATCTCCACTGTGAGTCCTGTGCCTATTCAGGTGGCAGAATCGGTTCTTCAGGCTGAACCTAAGGAATCCGTGTTGGGCGCAGCTGTAACCGTGAGCGATCAAGCGATTGCCTCGATGGTCACGGCTATGCACAAGTCCAAGGATATCGCTTCTGCACCGACCCCGACGGAGCCTGTTCAGTTGAACGGATCAGCTTGTGAAATTGAGAGACGCGACATTTCCGGTCTACCAGAAAAGACTGATGCTCCTTCTGAGGCGATCAAGGAATTCGCGAGCGATTTGGTTGCGACTAAAGATCTACCAGCAGAGGCAGCACCTGCTACTGAAGAAAAGATATTAACCAGTAGCAGTGTGGGGCCTTTAGAAAAATCATCTGTGGAAGAATTAATGGAACAGGTTGCAAAAATAAAACTGGCAGAAGTGAAACCTCCAGAACAGAAGCCGAAAACGGAAGAAATAAAACCTCCGGAACTGATTACCAAGACGGAAGCTGTGGAAGAGAAGTCTGCGGAGCAAGCTGCGAAAGCTGAAACAACGGAAGCGATCGTGAAACAAGCGGAAACAGTCGCACAAGCTGAAATAACAAAAGTACCGTCTATTGAACAAACAGAAGCAACGGAAGCAGCAACAGCGAAATTACCGAAAGTTTTGGCATCGCCAATCGCTGAGCAAAGTCCACCGGCAGAAGAACCCATTGAAGCGAAACCACCAAATGTTCCATCGACACCGACGGTGACTGAGGCCTCACCGCCGATCAGTCCGTCCGTGGAGAGCGCGCAGGAGATGGAAGACGCCGCGAAGAAGAGCCTGAAGAAGTCCGACTCAGCGGACGGCACCGACGGAGAGGGCGCGGACAAGAAGGCGGCGAAGAGGACGGTGAAGAAGGTGACGAAGAAACCGAAGGCAAAGCCCGAGGAGGCGGCACCCTCAACCGCGACGGAGGGCGCCGCCGCGGACGGCTCGCAGAGCAAGACGAAGAAGACCGTGAAGACAACGAAGAAAATCGGCGCAAAGACCCTGGAGACTGACACGAGCATACCGGAGACCCCGCCACCACCAACGCCAACCGGCGCCGTCGGCGTCGACGCGCCAGTTCCGCCCAAGCGGAAGACGAAGAGCACGAACGCAAAGGGAACCGGTAAAAAGCCTGAGACGGAAGAGTAACCGGTCAGTCCAAGTCGACAATAACGGTCTCAAACAGTTCAGGAGTCCGACATGGAAAAAACGGTTTTGGTAAAGTATAAAGTAAAAATTTAGTTAGATACAGAGATCTGAAAATAATTTGTTGGACTATCAAAATAATTATATAGAACGTCCAAGCTGGTATTGCTTGAATGTTAACTTAAAACTATTTGCTTATTATGCTTGAACGTCATACTCGCTCCTACATAATTATTTGACGGTCCAACAAAATTATTTTTAGATCTGTATGTAGCTAAACTTTTAGATACTTCAGCAAAATCAATCTTTCCATGGAGAGATCGATTGAGAGGCGAAGGTCCTCCAAATATTCGCGTTGAATATCAAGAATATATATTGAGGTCTCTGAATAAGAGAATTTCAATCCTTTCGAGACCTCGAGTTCTTAGAAGATTAGTATTTTTGCGCATATATTCCTTTTTTACGGTTTTCTTAAAAGATTCCCTGTAAAGTGTGATTAGCGATCTCTGCTAGCCGCAAAGTAGTGGACGCGAAGATTGTCGCGACATAGTTTGAACACTGTCTCGAAAGGATTAAAGAACGTGTTAGAAGATCACACTCGCTAGTCTGTTACGGTTTTTCTTTTTTTTATACTTTTAATATATATATCTCGCGAGAGTTTCTATATCGTTGAGCTTCGATACCATATTCGCCGCGGAGGTATCGAGCGATACTAAGAGTTTAATCGACGACGCTACAAATGATTCATATTTATACGAGCCGCGTTACTTTACTTGTCTTTTTTGTTTCTTTTTTCTCTCTTATTTTTTAATTAACGATATACTCGCTTCTCCCCTAAGGTTTGTTCCTATTTATCTTGTTAGATTCTTTACTCGTGTAATTACCGTTTCCTCGAGTCAACGTTGCTCAATAATCGCACATCCTGAAATGATGATAAACCCGTGTTTCATCCGAGCAACGTGAGCTCGAGTGTCTTATTGCGAGCGATCATTTTATATTTGTTTATCCGCTTCAACGAGAGTTTGTTAGAGCATGCCACAAAAAAGAAGATGGGAATCGCTAACTGCGATTGATTCTGTTGTAAAGCTACCTCGGGAAAAAACGTTTTATATATTATATATAATTATATATAAAATATGTCCATATATCACATATAACATATATTATAATATATAACATTTTTTCCCTGGACGTTTTTCCAGATTTAGGGCAAGAGCATATAATAGAGATAGCATCAGCCAACTGTTGTAATGTTAATGGAAAATAATTACAATTGTGTTATGTGCGCAGTATACATACATTGTCAAGGACTTTTTATAAACGACACAATAATTGTCGGTCGACACTTTGGCTACTGTCCAGCAAGGAACACGGATGATACAATGTAATATAGTAAATCATTACATCCTTGCTGTTTCCTGCAGATATTAAACAAAGATTAAATGGTTCACCATATTACACTGAGTGCTTTTTATTTAATGGCACAAATGTTCTGTTTTAATTATTCGTGAATGATAAAATGAAGTGCATCGATTTGTATCTGAAACGTTGCTTTTTTATTTCACCGCCAGAGTTAGCATTTTAGCTGTGTGCGATTGTGTCGACTTGTGTCATAGGTCGGTATTCATAGTCCGTTCTTATTTCAAAATCGTCTTAAGTAATGTTTTAAGGAGGTAGGATACCCTGAGCGGCCTGAAAAGTAACGGGTTTTTGAACTTGGATTGCGGTAAAAGTATAAATGCGATCCACTTCAAAAAAAATTTGACACTTTATTACTACATATATTAAACTTATTGTGTGATAAATTTCATCAAAAAATATTGATCTGGCGAGGGGTAATAACAATCCGCGTGAAACGTGATTTTGCGAACAGGGGTGAACGGTGTACATGATTCCACCATTTTGGTTATCCTGAAACAAAAAATCAAAATAGTTTCTTAAATTAAAATGTACTCCCTATCGTCTGACCGACGATTTTTTTGACATCATTTTTAGTTTGCAAAATACAATAACATTTATATAACATAAAAAGTTATTAAAAATTCAAATACTTATATTTTTGTCAATTTTAAAAAAAAATCGAAAAAATTTCGGTCAGACGATAGGGAGTACATTTTAATTTAAGAAACTATTTTAATTTTTTATTTTTTTTTGTTCTGTACTTAAGATGGTCTTGAATATAAGAATCGATTATGAATATCGCCCATAGGTAGAAAGTACAAAATCATACACTGTGTTACACAAAAGTCAGTGGACTGTGTCTATGTACGTTGCTGTAAAGCACCTTCGTCTATCATGTGTTCTTGCGCTTACGCGAAGCGAATGCGATGACAGGATCATATTGCAGCATCTGTGCCGAGCAACTTTTCGCACCGATGTCGTGAGATCAGCGACGAGAGAGACAGGTCCATGTTTTATTTACATCATGTACACGTGTAAGAGTATACACGACCACAATACACGAAGTCATGCATTTGCATCGATCGAGCGAGACGGTGCGATGGTTGAAAGAAAGGCCTACTTGTCTTATGGAATCAATTATTGTTATTTCATCAGGAAATGAGACAGCAATGTTAATTTATTATATTATGCAACGAAAGCAATATAAGCAATACGACACTGCGATTACGGCCACTGATATATTACGTTAGAAATCTGAGCGGCTCATCTTTTTATATACACGTATATTACATATTATATATTAAATTATAATTTTCGGTGTGTATTTTTACTCTGTCTCGTTGATATTTTTAAAAAAAGAATGTTCATCACTTCCACATGTATGTACAAATAACAAATTTCTTATTCTAATTTAGATTTAAGCCGGTCAAGTGGTTCTTTCTAAGTATCATGAAGTACAATACTCCCGATGTTTTGAAAGAACCACATAACTCGCTGCAATATACATAGTATAATGCAATTGAAAGCTTTTTAATAATGATGAAAGAAAGCCTATGCCGATTCATTTCAGGAAATATTAAATTGTACTCCAAAGACGCAGTGTAAGATTTGTAACAAGACTTATTGTCAATAAAACACGTGTCGTCAGTGAAAAATATATATTATTATTATAAAGATAAATTATTAATAAAAAATTATATTAATATATATGTGTATAACGCGTAACAATATCAATTTAATTTGTTACACACATAAAAGACGAAAGAAAGGCGCGACTAAACAGACGGATATTTAATTTTTAAAAATCATGGAGAGAGAATTTGTATGTTTATTTATTATAATCTTTAAAAAGAAAAAAAAGGCCCTGGTAAAAATTTTTTCAAAATTTCTATGTAAATTAAAAAAATTTTTTTAATTTTTGAATAATTTTATAACTTTTTACAAAGTTTCCCAGATTTTTTTTATACAAATTGGAATACTTTAATAATGAAACACTTTAATAATAAGTAAATGACAACACACTGAGATATGCGGGATAAATAAATATTAATATCTTTATTTGTCAGGGATCCTGATTTGAAATTGATCAATCACAGTATAAGTCGAGTATTTTCTCATATTCGACTGCATTCGAAAACGTTATCCGGGTTTCCCCCGTGTATCATCTTAGCCTTGTTTAACATTGGGTGAACAATAAGGGTAAAATGATATACGAAGGATAACGTTTCCGAACACAGCTCGATTGGTCAATTTCTTACGCTTTGCAGCCTCTTAACTCGCAAACAAATATAAAAGTGTAGTAAGCCTTAGGTCACGACCGCACTTATTGTGTTTTGATTTTCCGAAAAATACTTTCAGTTTCGACAGACTAATTAGTATTACTAGAATCTACATTACGTGATATTTAAAATGTTATATAAATAAATGCAAAGTTGATTATAAAGTTAATTATACTTTCCCAGACAGCATACAATATTTATAACATTGCAGCAATATTGCAGCGATATTGTTGCAAATTCTGTGCTGTATGGGAAGTGAAGCATATTGCTATTAACATCCTGATTAAAAGAATATTTGTTGTAGAACTCTTTTTTGTAAGTAATATATACGTATATTTTTATATTTACAAAATATTTAAATGATCCATAAATTATAATTTATATTATTGAAAGCAATTTAGCAAAGGCCATACCGGCCTTTTTCCAGTTACCATCAAAATCGCCTGTACATCCACTGACGTAATTCTCTATGCTATGATTTTATCGACAGGGTCAGAAAATGGATGTAGCCACGTAGTTCCCAAACCGAAAATGGACGTACTGGCGATAGTGTACGGGCAATTTCGATGGTAACAGAAAAGAGGCCGGCATGGTCTCTCTCAAGTTTTTCTCTGCTCTGATAGATACGCGACAGCAGTGAGCGCATCATCTCCAGGGTGTTCGCGCGGGTTGCGCGAGTGATAGAATGCTTGTACTTCCCATCTGAGATATCGAAAGAGAAAGAGAGAGGGTGAATTAAAAGTGTGCGTGTGCGTCGTCGTGTGTGTACGCGTGAGAGAGAAAGAGAGAGAGGAGAGAAAAATAGGGTGAGAGCGAGCGGTGCGGCAAATCCGCCACTGTCCCCGGCGCCGGTGGGATGATCAAGGATATGGCGGACGATGAGGCCATACAGGCCACCAACGACGACGCCAGCGAGTGCAAGCGTTACGCGGTGCAACTCGGCTACTGGTGCGACCCGTTCATCAGTCTGTTTGTCAAACAGACCGCCCGGAAGGCGCCTGAGATCAATCGCGGTTACTACGCCAGAGTCAAGGGCATCGAGCTCTTCGTCGAGAATTTTCTCAAGGTGAGCGTTTGGATCCGCCGAGCGCATCTCGTCGCGTTCCCTTCCCGATTTTTCCCTTACTTCCGCCTCCCCTCCCCCTTTCAGTTCACGTAAACATTCTTCCCGTTCCCCAAGGACATGCGATTTGATCGTGGCGCGACCGAAGGGAAAGGTCTCATCGTCGTTCGTACGTGACACTCCGAAAAAGTCGCTCGTTCCTCTTGCTGCACTTTCTGCACTCTCCGCGTCTCTTCCCGCTTCTCGTTGGGGGTACGAACTGATTTCACGCCCATTCTCTTCGCTCATATTTTCCGCTTCCTGTGTCGTTGATAAACATCCGTTTGTTTCGGAATTATGGAAAACCTAGAACGCATGAATATCGCTCGTTGTAAACGCGGAAGGAGTAGAAAAGTGCAGATGGGAACGAGCCCGCTCGCGGCGGGTCTAACCTAGAACGCGAATCGGAAACAATCGGGATGACGAGGAGAGAGAGAGAGGGAGATGATGAAAAAGAGAGAGTGAGAGAGAGAATGAATACGGGGGCCCTCCCCCCGGGAATACAGCTGATCCGGGCGGCAGGAACGTGCCGTGGTAGAAACCTTGACCCGCCGACGGCCGAGGCCCTGTCCTAATTCCCGTGAGATTCCCCGCTTCTGTATCGTGACGACTAACCGATATATAGGTCAATGAAAAACGCGCGAAGCGGCGCGGCGCGTGCGGCTCTCGTGCCTCTCATTTCCTATACCTGGCACCGGCCGTACGCGGTGCGGAATTTGCCCCGTAACAGCGGGACAAAAATATTCCGTCCGGTTACGTATAAAACGCCCGCTGCGTTTTCCGCTTTTAAGTTAAACTTGGCTCGAGCGCTGCTAAACCGCTGCGATGTATATATATATACGTATAATATATAGTCTTATGAGCATAAAAACGAAAAATCAATTATCTTTTGCAGTGGCAATAGAATGTAGCTTTAGCCTATTAGAAAATTGAATTTATTAATAATTTTTTTTAAATTAAGACAGGGTGTTTATTTTTCTAATTTAGGGCGGGGTTATTTTTAAAAAATCTTAGTTTTTTTTTAGTAAAATTTATATTGTAAGTATTCTATTTCTCTCTTGCCTCAAAATAAGTTCTCTCTTCTTTAATTTATTATATTATTATATATGGCAACGTTTTTATTTAGAACTATAAACATCCACACTTATATGAATTATTATTAATTTTTTTTAATTTAGATTTTTTTTTAATTTTATAGCTTTTTTTAAATAAGATTTATTGTAATTTATTGTATTCCTTGCCTCAAAATGGGTTTTCTCTCTTTTTCAATTAATTATATAATATTATTGTACAGTTTTTATTTAGAATTGCAAACATCTGCACTTAACGTGAATTTATTATTTAATTTTTAAGTTATCTTGTAGGGGGGATTTATTTTTAAAATCTTATAGTTCTTTTCTTTGAGAAATAATTATTATAATTTATTATATTCCTTGCCTCAAAATATATCATTGTTTCAGCGCTATTATAGCGACTTCTCGACCTGTAAAGATTAAATAAAAGATTAACTGAGAAATGCGTTCTTGTTCTTCACTTATTTAGTTTTTAAATAAAAATATTACCAAAAATTAAGATTCCATTTTTCGGTAAGCATGGTTTTTAAATTTTTAGAAGAAGCAAAGCTTCATATTCTCTTCTATTACATATATGTTGTTTAATATAATTTTAAAATAAAATGTTTAAAGAATATTAGTCTTATGATTGAAAGGTATTAGAAAAATGTTATTAAAATAATCTTGCTTTGTGTGTGTGTATTTATAAAGTATAAGAAAGTGAAAGAAATTCTTTATAAATCAAAATTATCTTGCTTTGTATATATTTATAAAGCACAACAGAGTGAAAAGAACACTTTAATCTTACAATATATAAATTACACGTTATATATTACAAGATTAAAAAGTAGTCATTATATTTTTAATATCATCAGTCTCAAGGATGGATTTTCTATTTATGCAGCTTTCTGGCGGTAAAGGTCAGATCATAAACTTGGGTGCTGGTTTTGACACTCTTTATTGGAGACTCAGGGAGACAGGGAATAGTCCTGCGAATTTCGTGGAACTCGACTTTCCCAGCATAACTGCAAAGAAATGTTATCACATCAAGAAGCACAAGCAATTAATCGATATGCTAAACACCGAAGGTATTTTATTACTCGATCGTTATCTCGTCATACCTTTGCGTACTCGCATTTTTTTTTAATTACACTGGCAACTACGTACTTTTCAGACGGAGAAATCCGATTTTCGACCACAGACCTGCACGCCGCAAACTATCATCTGGTTGGTACAGATCTGCGACACATAGCGGAGCTAAATAACAAATTGGCCCAAGCTGAAGTCAATTTCAACTCACCTACTATGTTCCTCGCAGAATGTGTTCTAGTGTACGTAGACGCTAGCGCGACATCGTCACTATTAAAATGGCTAGCGGGCAAGTTTCCGAACAGTCTTTTCGTCAGTTACGAACAGGTGAACATGAAGGACAAATTCGGTCAGGTCATGTTGTCGAACCTTCGCAGCCGTGGATGCTTATTGGCGGGCGTGGAGGATTGTGAGTCGTTAGAGACTCAACAGAGACGGTAGGTGTATCCTCATTAATCCGTTAAGTTCGACAGAAAATTAAAAAACCTAGAATTTTAAGGAAGAAATTTTTCATTATTTTTAACTTTGAAAATCGAGGACTTTCATGGAATTTTATCGTTATTTAGAAAAATTTTTGGAATTTTTGCTTTCACAAATTAAAATTCTGTCCTTTTTTGAAAACTTATTTTTTTTTAATAATACAAAATATCGACAATCAGTTAGCAATAATATAGTATACACATGCGCGTATATTTACGTTCATTATCTCCCGAGTTTCTATCAGGAAAGTCAAGGTAACATTACAAGACGATAACACAACAGAAGAGAGTATACAACAGAAGTGACTTACTGATATTGTAGTGAGCTTTCCCTATACTTACCCTATAAATTCACAACTTCAATTAAAGGATAGATACAGTCTCCCAGAATCTTTGCCTTCTAGTAATTTACAGTATGTAGTTTGCATTATTTGCATTCCATTTAATTTCAAAGTTACATTAAATTATTCTCTAAACTCACTTGCAATTTTGAATGAAAATATCTTGAAAATCCGGGAAATCTCAGGGAATTGTTTCACAAGATTTCGGTAAACACTCTGAATTCGACAGGTCGATGATTCAACTTGCAATTGTTGCAGATTTACCATAAACAATTGGGAAGGCACGAGCGCGTGGACGATGGTGGATGTTTATGATTCACTGCCTGTAATGGATCGTAGTCGAATCGAGCACATAGAGATGCTGGACGAACGAGAGCTCCTTACCCAGCTGCTCCAGCATTACTGCATCGCCGTTGCTTGGAACGGACAAACATTTAAAAATCTGTCTATAGCACAGGGTTAGGTATCACCGCCTAACTCCTTCTCTCTGTGTCTCTCTTGCGAGTTACTCCAGGTAATGACATCATGTAATTCGGGCTCGACGAGCTCTCGCAAGTTACGTAATACCCCGATCAACAGCAGGAGATTAACGTTTCTCAGATTGCGCTTAAGTACATCTCGAGTTAGGGCTTAAGCACAAAAATGACCGTAACTAAGTCGTGAAACGTAAGTTATAATTGTAGGTTGTGTTTTAATTGTTCTATTACGTCTCTATTATTTCGTCTCAAAGCTTCCGAGGAGGTACAGGACTCATCTTTAATATTAAAGTAGATGATTGTTATAAAACAAATAGATGTATTGTTGGTATACATATTCTCTTGTGTCACTATGCGTTGGTTCACGTGGAGGCACACGTCGCGGACGAGATTTAGTTCTTATTTTTTTCAACTCTAAAATTCTTTAGGGATATTTTTTAATTAATTTTATTGTAATGTTCCCTGAACTCTTTTCATAGTTCCAAAACATTGTGCATTGACCTACGACTCACGTTTCACGATTCAGTTATAACCATCTTTGTGCTGAGGTTCTTAATCGACAAATTGAAATAGTTTACGTCACGAGAAAATAGTATCCTCTGATTAAAAATACTTTTAATTTTTCGTCTACAAAAACATCTCGTAATGATTTTGATATAAGCTTTAAATATATTCTGCGTTCTTCACTCTCAAGAGAAGGGCTAAATAGTGTACACGAATTTCATCAAACTTTAAATATGTTTTGGTATTTACCTTCGAAAGTTTTGGAATTTTTAATTGTATTATGAAAAGAAATTATTTCGTATGATTGCAGGTTAAAATATGCGTTAAAATAATTGTATAATAATGAAATAATCATTTTTCTATTACGTGCGTTGCCTAATCATTCACTTAAACGCACATTCTATAAAAATGTACATACATAAAGCGCACAAGAAACTTCCGATATAAAATTCTCGTAAATACTTGAATATCATGTGGTGCCATGAATTAGTACTAAAGATTAGTACTAAATCTGTGTTGCTCATGAATTAGTATTAAATATACTTAAAGTTAGTTAAAATTTGTGCGCATACTACTTGGTTCTTCTCTTGTAAGTGCGTATAGTACGCGTCACGAGTTATTTAACGAGCGCTGCAACAAGAGAAAGAGGGAGGTGCGATTGCGACGATCGAGTCGCGCGAGATACGTTATGCGACTAGCTGATATGAATGGCGGCTGAATAAGTTCTAACATCCTTTCGCAAACGATATTTCCAGTCATCCTAATTTACATACGACATATCTGAATTATGTAATTTATAACGATTTTACTTGCAAAAGATCGTTTCGCTCTTCATTACAGACTTATGTATAAAGTTTTACGATCGTTATTATAATTATTATAGATCGCTATTGTTATATAAGGCCTGTTTTTTTTAGCTGAACTTCTTGCATAGTTTATCTTTCCTCCTTTTTCACATCGGAGAGAAAAAGAGAAGAGAAGAGATAAACTGTGCAAGAAGCTCAGCTAAAAAGGACAGCTATAGTCGTAACCAAACGGTACGACGCAATGCGCAGAGTAATTTATTATAATATCATTGAAATATCAATAATAATTCAACTTATTAAGTTTTTACCAGCTCGTTTGTTATATTACAGTATTATAATTTTTTCGTTTTAATAAGTAAAGTTGTAGAGCCCGCATGATGGATAGGAAAGATAATTTCATACATACAAGATCTGCAAAATCTGTTCTTTTTATCTATTTTCTACGATTTCCGTGCATAAATAGGAAACGCGCTCTTGCTGTGCAAATAGAAAAAGGTCTAATGAGAAAAAAGTCTAGAAAGACGTAGAAGAAAGTACAGCTAAAAAAGCGCGGATCTATATTTTTAATCTTTTATCGCAAAAGAATACAAAGCTATTTTTCTGAAAACATTCGTACATAGAACTTCGATTCTACGAAAGTTTAATGTGTATTCCGGTATTTGAGAAACTGTGTAAAATTATTCCTTACACGCGCGCGACCCGATCCTTGTGTGTGAGTGTGTATTATATGTTAGAGATTACTGAATTATTGAACCGCGATAAGGCGATTAGTGTTACGGTGCGAGCGCTATAAGCGGTCAGTTTCGTATAAGCGCGTATCTTGCGAGCCGCGCGAAGAGAGAAATATTAGATTATCAAGAAAGTTACAAATCAGCCTTCGATTTTTACATATTGAATGTTTTTATATATGTTTATTACAAAATGTCTTTTTATATATATATATATATATTTATTATACTGTCTTAATTTTAATTTAAATTTTATGGACTTTCTACAATAAATATAATTACTTAAGCTTTAAGTCTTAAACCGTAAGAAATTGACCAATGAAGTCAATTATTCTTCTCACATTCAACTGTGATTGGTAAATTCTTACAGCTTAAGACTTGAGCTTAGATAATGACTTATTGTAGAAAGTCTATCAAACTTTATTAAATAACTAATTATTAGATAATTATTAATTATAATGATTATTAGTATAATTAATAACTAATTATTAGATAATTATTTTTCAGAATAAAGATTTTCCTGTTCAAAAATCATTTATCACCAATCTTCCAGTTGCCAAATTTGGTACTATTAATCTAGACAACATTAAAGTCCATCTGATATAGTTCTGCATCATTTGATTATGGTCTGTTTCGTTCAATGAAACATTTCTTACGAGAACAACGATTTGTAACTTTTGAGAAAGTCGAGGCAGCTTGTCATGACTACGAATTGACTGGTAGCGAGTTATTAGATATAGTCTTTATCTGAGAAATAATTGTCATAATATAAATTTTGTAAAAACCGAAGGTTTAGAACAACTTTTTTGACAACCTAGTCTATATACATATATAATATATATATATATATATATATACATGAGTGATTACTTAAGATAATAAAAGCAAAAATATATGCAACGAAAGTAAGACTTAAGTGGTACTCTTGCGAAAGGATCGACATGCGAGCAGATACCGCGCGTTTGCGAGCATCAGCCTGAAAAGGAATCGGCGACATGCTGTCGTTTAATTTCATTCGTTCGCTCGTAGATAATGAATTCATAATCTTTGTTTGCGAATCGACTGCGAAATAAAAAAAAAAGGGAAACGCGTGCCGATGTTCTTCGATATAAAATTCGACCGTTTTTTACGTTACAACACGAGGAGACGCTTATGTTAGCACGATATTCCGCTTCTTTTTAACACCAATACGAAAAGTATGTTGCACTTGCAAATCATGTATCGACATACGTTAGTGAGGGATCGACAAAGATTTATTTTCATATTGAGGAATATCAGGGTGACGCATGTGTATTCAGTCTAAGGATAATACGAGAAGATATTATAAGCTCGTTTGAGACATTCGAATCATCCTTTTGTAGGTACAAAATGCATCTCGTTAGCAGAACTCAGACTTTACTATCGCGGGGAGATGAGACGTGATCATCGAGATCATTTATTCAGCATCAGTAAAGGGGCATTGATCGCTTTTCTGGAGTTTGACGGCCTACCGGATTGGAATAGTCTTGTAGTGGTGTTGTATCGGTGTACACACACACATGACTTCGGCGATCTCGCGTCAAACACGAACGACGTTCGTAACTTCTCAGAGGCCTTGTTCTCGAAAAATATCATATACAAAGATACTAGGGAAATCTGTAATATATGTAAGACCTGTTGTGAGACAAACTTTGACTTAAGAAGAGTGAAGTCTCCTCTGTCCTCAAGGAGATTTAATCACGGGAAAGATCCAAATAAAGCGTGGTAATTTGATTCTAATATGATTGATCTACTCGAGTAGATCGTAAATCCAAATCAGAGGACACAAGAAGAAGAAAGAAGAAGAAAAAGAAGAACTTTGACTTGGTACGATATGGAAGGGTCGGAAACTTATATAGAGGAATCAAACCAAGAACGTATAAGTATTATAGTATTTTCATACATTTTCGTATATGATATTTTTTTAAGAATACGGCTCCAGGTCTGCTAACGAGCGAATTTCTGTAATCACCACATTCTATCTTGTGTATTTCTCGACTGTTTCTTTCCGATACTTTTAAGCGTTACGCAAGCAACGGTAATTTATTAGATTTAAGAAACGATGAGAAAATGCAAGCGGATCCACAGAAGGATATACGAGTGATTCTTCGATCTCTTGCTCCCTTCGACGCGCAAAATTATCATACCTGGAGTAACGAACACGTATAAAAAAAAGATAGTCAGATGTTCTATTTTTCTCAGAAGTTACAAAAATTGCAGCCATTGTTATGATATCTATCAACGTTCGTAGATAAAAACCTCCGCCTCTTCCTCCCTCGCCCGACATGTCGCCTTTGCACGTAGAGGAATAATTGAGACCTATCTTTCACGTTAGTTTCGTGTCATATGTAAGTCACATTCGAAGTAAAATTTGCTGATTTATTCGAGCGCTCGTTCATGTGTTCAAGTCAGCTCCGAGTTTGAGAATCAAAGCTCTCTGTAAAGCAAAACTCCTATGCATCTAGCGTGTCTTTCGAAATATTTTCGTGAGAATTCGAGGAAAGCACTGCCATCATGAAAATTTGAATGAGATCTTAAAGCTCATTGAAACTCAGTGAATTTGTAATTTTCACGTGCACCTCTTTAAGGCGAAAGAAGAAAAAGGATTGCGACGAACCATCATTTACGTTATTTTTACAGTTTGTACAGCGAAATTTTTTTGTGAATTTTTAGAAATGTAGATTAATTTTTGATTAGTCATGCAGTTAAATTGAGTCATATTTTAGTCGCACATTGCGATCACTCTTATTATTTCTTTCCTATATAGTTAAATAAGCGAATTAATATAATTCTACATTATTTAATTTTAATAGACAACGAATTTTTCACTTCGCCAGAATTATCGCCTTAAAAGAAGCGTATTCAAGTAGTTCGTTTTACATACAAGGGAACAAATCAAGTGTCCACCTCTGATTAGTTAACGAATTTCATGACATCGCACAGATAGAATTATCGTAATTCGCGATTAATTAAAAGTGTTCGTAAGAATAAAACGAGACTTCGAGAGAAATGGAGAAAGTAATTTGATTCTCAAACTTGAGTAATGCGATAACGTTGTGCGGATGGTGCGCGCAGCTTCATGTTTCTTCGCGTCGATTTCATTCTACATTACATTGATCTTATGTACGGATGTTGTACATTTTGAAAAAGAATAAGATATGAAATTCTATATATATGGACATTCAGTGTGCTTCCACTGTCATTATGAACTGATAAGGTATGATGGAAAAATTGTGCATCTTTATATTCGCATAATTGTGATATTGTTAAATTGTGCATTTATATAACGATTAGAAACAAAACGAGCGATCAGTTATTAATAATTGATTGTAGCTTCCTGTTTGATACATTTCTTTCACGTGCCCCGTGCTAAGGAGTTTCTTTAAGTGGGAAAAGAGAGCAGCTATGATATAATATTAAATTAAAATATTTTTAAATATATATAAGATATATATATATATGTATATGCCGTAAGATGATACACTTCTCCCATTTAAAGTCTTTCATTTAATTTATTGTGTAAAAGACGACTTAACATGGTGTGATTTATTAAAATTATTTTTATTATTTTAACAAAACTAATGGATATATAAAATGAATAAACAGCATCTAAGAAAAAATAAACTTCAGATAAATCATATTATTTGTATAGCTATACATCTGACGAATACATCTGACGAATCGCCGTTTCGTGTAAAAAGGTATAAAGAGATATTAAAAATATATAATTTTCTATATATACTTTTAAATACACCTTATGCTTTATACCTTACTTTTAAGTTTAATTTTTGCATTGTTAATTGCTTATTTCGCACGCACGTTCCGCGGAAAATATATACAGTCGATAGTAAAGTAACTTTATATTTGTACTATTATTTATGTTTTTCTATAAAATACGAAATTATTATAAGAAAGAATTCTCTT